CATGTTAACCTTATGATTTTTCTTATTTAAAAGGAATTAATGAATCTTAACAGCTGTTTCAATTAAACAAGTTGGTTCTGTTCTATGATATTCAATAGCAGTAAAGTTTCAAGGATTACCAACAGGGTGCAGCACTATTATTTTTTTTTATTTATGACAACAGCTAATTTGCAACCAAAAGGTGAGTGAGCGTAGCGAACAAACTTCAACCTGGAGGCGACTTAGCGTAGCGAACGAGCTAACCTGAAGGCAAGTGAGCGCAGCGAACGAGCTCCAACCTAAAGGTGAGCGAGCGTAGCGAACGAACTTCAACCAGGACGTGATTGAGCCATGCGAATACTTATGAAGTTAAACGGGGCAAAGCGCGGGCACAGCTAGTATCCTATAAAATATTATATTTGGTCATATGGGTGCTGTTTCATGGGTGTAAGGAATATCAATTTTAAACATTGAAATCCAGCATCAGTCAGCACTAGCAGTCGAGCTGATAAGACCCTCTCTTATCTTAGCGCACGCACGCGTTGCAAGTTTGAAACTGCTTGCGTTCAAACGCGTTTTCACGTGTTAAAATTTTACCTTTTTTAACATAATTCATGTGTAAGTGATTATGTCGTGCTGTGGCGTCTGTAACAAATCGTCCGAGGACACCGTGAATACAGTGAAATGCGTCTCATGCGGGAGTGTCTACCACGTGGAGTGCCTCAAGAAGCAAGACGGCGAATCTGTGAAACAAAGGTCGTGCAAGGACTGGAAGTGCAAGGAGTGTCGTCAAACAGCATCCAGCGGAGGCTCTGTGACTTCAACCACGGTAATCACTAAGGAATTTCTCGTTAAACTCTTGGATAATTTTAAAAATGAAATCTCTAAGGACCTGAAAGCAGTCAAAAATGAAACTTTGGAGTTAAAAGAATCCGTTCAGCATATGTCTAATTCTATTGATGACATAAATAAACAATTTTCCGAATTTCAGAGAGAATTAAAACAAATTAAAGAAGAAAACCAGAAGCTACGGGCAGATAACGGTTCCTTAAATAAAAGAGTCACTGAGTTGGAGGAGAGGGTGCGTAATATGGAGCAGTATAGCAGGAAAAATAATGTGGAGATTAGCGGGATTCCTAAAACAGAGAAAGAAGACGTGAAAACGATCATCAAGGAGGTCGGGAAGGCGCTGGGTTTAGAGGTGCAGCCAAGCCACATCGCAGCAGCCCACAGGATCCCATCCTACAACCAGGCACGGGTACCGTCATTGGTGGTGCAGTTCACAGAGAGGACAATGAAAGAGGCTTTCATCGCGAACTTCAAGGAGTCTAGGAAAGGAGGTTCACACCTAACTGCGAATGACATCAGTCGCAGCTTCCCACACGACAAGGTCTACGTCAATGAACATCTCTCGCCTGAAAACAAGTTGTTCTTCAAAAAACTCAAAGAAAAATGCCAGGAACTGAAGTACGCATACGTTTGGAGCAGAGACGGGAAATTTTTCGCTAGAAAAACTGAAGACGGTAAATCAATAAAAGTGAGTACTTATGAAGATATTTACCAGCTTAAATAAGCAGTTCAAATGGCTACGTTCCTAGAAGTTATTTTTGTCATTTCACTCAGTTCGATTTATGAAATTCTATTTATTTTAAGTATTTTTTTAACTTTTTTGTAGGTTAGCGAATGTCATTTACAATCTCCAACGAATATGAAACAAGTTTACCACATTTTTACAAAGATATTAGTAACGGAGGTTCGTTAAATTTACTGTATGCCAATATTAGATCTTTAAGAAAGAATTTCAATAGTTTTTTAGCAGAGGTTAACAGTGTCATAAATAATATTAATTTTATTGTTCTAAGTGAAATTTGGGTCAATGAAAGTGAAATTAGTTTTTATAAAATTCCTGGGTTTAATTTATTTGCTTGTTGTAACGATAATTATAGAGCTGGAGGGGTGTTATGTTATGTAAATGAGAGTATTGATACTACACAACTAAGCTTTAAAATGACCACTGCTGATGTTTTGCTTCTGCGTGTTAGATATAAAAATGTTTATTTCAATGTGTTCTGTTTTTATAGGTTGCATATGCACTCAGAAAATGATTTTGTAAATGAATTTTCCGATACTATTAATAATGTAAAGGGTAATACTATTTTGGTCGGGGATGGAAATATAAACCTATTAAATACTTGTCAGCCATATGTGCAAAACTATTTCAGTCTGTTACAAAATCATGGTTTTATATCTATGATAAAGAGCCCTACGCGCATAACTAATCTGTCTAAAACACTCGTAGACCATATTTTTGTAAGACATCCAAACATAACTGTTTTTAAAAGTATTATTTTTGATATTGGTCTAACAGATCATTGTTTATTGGGGTTGACTTTTGATTTAATGTGTAAAGGTAAATTAATAGATGATTCTAGCTTACTCAAACAAAAAGATAAAATAGATTTTATTTTATTCAAAGAAAAGTTAGAAAATGAAAAATGGGAAGACATTTTGCTTTCAAATGATGTTAATTATTGTTATAATATTTTTTATGAAAAACTATGTACTGTAATAAATAAATCTAAGTTAGCTTTTAAGTACAATAAATTTCAAAAATCTAAATCGTTAAGTCCATGGATAAATACTAATTTATACAATAGGATATCGAAAAGAAAGAAGTTATACGTGTTGTATAGGAAAAGGCCATTCGATATACATTTTGGAAAGTATTTTAACGAGTTCTGTGTCAAATTAAGAGAAGATATTGATTTTGCTAAAAACCAATTTTTAGCGAACAAAATTAATAATTGTCATGGGGATTCTTCTCAATATTGGAAGGTTTTAAATAATGTGTTAGGTACAGCTGATAAGAAAAATGTAACTGAAGTTGAATTGGAAAACAAAACAATTTTAAATGATCACAAACAAGTTGCCGAAGAGATTAACAAGTATTTTATCTCTGTCCAATGTCAAGGTCAAAGCTGCAACGGGCCTCCCCCTCCCCAGCCACGACCCTTGCATTGTTCTCCTCACTCCTTCTTTGTTGCTCCAACTACCATTCCCGAAGTTTTGGCTACCATAAATGGGTTGAAAAATAAAAAATCAACAGGTTTTGATCAAATATCTGTTCAACTTTTAAAAACTGTCTCTAAAATCCTAGCACCTGTTTTAGTCCACATGATTAATCTTAGTTTTGCATGTGGTACATTTCCTGAAAAACTAAAACAAAGCATCATAGTGCCCATTCATAAAAAAGGCTCGTCAAAAAAATTAGACAATCTCAGACCTATTAGTTTGCTCTCAGTTTATTCTAAAGTTTTTGAGAAATTAATGAAAGTCAGACTTACAACATTTTTGGATGGTTTAAATTTTTTCAGCAACTCTCAATTTGGTTTTAGGAAAGGAAAGTCGACAGAAGATGCCCTAATTACAGTCACAGACAAAATTTATCAAAGTTTAAATAGCAAAAACAAAGCAACAGGTTTATTTGTTGATTTTAAAAAAGCATTTGATCTAGTTGACCATAATCTTTTATTATCTAAATTAGATGCTGCTGGTGTTAGAGGTGTAGCTAATAATTGGTTTTCTAGTTTTCTCTCAAACAGAATACAGCAAACAAAGATCTTAGACCAACTAAGTTCTCCTCTACATGTCAGGACAGGTGTTCCACAGGGATCAGTTACCTCTGCAACCCTCTTCCTCATATTTATTAACTAGCTGTGTACCCGTTCTACGCACGGGGATCTTATAAATTCAGTTGAAACCTTACATCCAAGAAGATCTTAAGCTTTTGAGTGATTGGTGTAAAGCAAATAAAATGCAGGTAAATGTTGATAAGACAAAATACATAAATTTCAGTCTAATAAATAGTTTTAACTTTCCAAACAATCTAGTTTATCATTCTTCGAATTGTAATTTAATTTCATGCATTTGCAAATCAATTGAAAAGGTCAAGCATTTTCGATATCTCGGAGTAGTTTTGGATGAAAATCTAAACTGGGACAAACATATTTCCACACTACATACAACAATTAAACAAACTATAAGAGTTTTCTATTTTATAAAAAACATTTGTAATACCTTCTTACTTCGAACTCTTTATTTTGCTCTTGTCCAATCAAGACTCCAGTATGCAATTCAATGCTGGGGTGGAACTTTTAAAAGTTATATTGAAAAATTAAGGTTTACACAAAATCATTTTTTAAGGATAATAACTAAAAGTAATAAGCGTGAAAGCTCTTTCCCGTTATTTTCTCAATTGATAATACTCCCAGTTCAGCACTTATATATTTTTAAGGTTCTAAAACTCTTCTATGTACGCAGTGGAAATACTGGGACAAGCAACCTTTTGTATAATACTAGACAAAACAATCAAGGCATTTTCCGTTTACCTAAAGTAAACAAGTCTTTGTTCAGACATTCTTATCAGTATAATGGTCCTAAATACTTCAACCAACTGCCGGAAGATATCAGATTTTGTTTGACCTTAGATAAATTTTCTTCAAAATTAAAACATTGGCTTTTTAATTATCCGGACGTATATTTTCTTAATAATATACTAATATAACAATTTACATCAACCACTCAAAGAATTTTTCTTTTTCTTTTTTTCTGCAAATAAATCCGTCAAGTTTCGCTATTTTTGTAATTTCCCTTTGGTTTTCCAGTTTACGAAGAGGCAATACATTTTTAGTTATAGGAGTATTTCTGTTAACTTTAGGATTTAATTTTTTAAGCTCTAATTTTATATTCCTATGCTTAAGACGCCACAGAGAGCGGCAACTTGTATTTTTCAAGTGAAGAGACTGGACTCAGTTGTAAATAAAATTGTTTCATTTTTTTTGTTTTACGTTTGCCACGATTACTGGATAATGTGGCAACGTAGTTCCAAGTGATTGTATTATTTTGTATTTATTTGTTTTGAAGGAATAAACTCATTATTTCATTATTTCATTATTTCAAATGAGGATTTACTTTGTTAGTGTATAAATACAATAGGTATACTAAAGTATATTTCATTCATGGTTAAGTGGTTTATAAGTCACGTGTTCTGGCTTTCACTAGAGGGTGAATCAATAGGTTCAACTGGGCCTCTACGTGGACGTGGAGGGAGATATCTATTTTGCGGGCGAGGAAGTGACGGGGAGGACCCGGAAGATGTAGAGCCCTCAGCAACACCAAGCAACCCTTGGTGTATGACAGTGGTGTAGCAAGGCTTGAGCACCAGAACATGTCTCTGTTGAGAGCAGAGGTCGGGAGGAGTGTGCAGTTGACAGTCGTCTCCAGGAACCATCTCCTCCACAGTCGTAAAGTGGCGAAGGAAAGCCACAATGGAGAGCAGAGCCGCTGCCTGGGAGAGTACGCAGGCGGCAGCAGCTGCGTGGAAAGAGGCCCCGTATCGGTGTTCCAGATGGTTGTGAAAATTACGGTCCGCAACTACATCGCTGAGACTTGCAGCAAACACCATCAAACCACAGGCGAGGACTAGACCTGCAAAAGTTACCGTAGCATTACCATTTTGTACATACTAAAATTAGTTTGGTTAAATATTACAAATGAAAGACAGCCATCCATGTTTTTAAGATCAGACTACTAGGTTGATTTTGTCGGGACACTAAATATGGAAACCCAGAAAACCGAAAAACTGTTGTATATTGTAAGAATCATGTTACAATAGTTAAACTAGAGGTGGCTATGGACTCTAAATTATAATCTTTCCTTCCTTCAGGAGAAGTCAATAGCCTGTATTAGTTATACATACTAGAAGAGTACCTGTGTCTTGTACGGGGTTGGCGTATACATGGAACGTGCATATTGCAATTATACTTCATACTCGTGCTTTGCGTTTGCAATGGGGGAGGCCACGATTTTGCAAAATTTGGTTCTTTAAATTTGTATAAGTAAATGATAAAAAATTAGCTTTACAACTGCATCTAATTGCCTGTACGTTCACTACCGCAATAGTACAAAATGTTTTATCCATATGGACCAGCGACGCACATATGCGACGGTTGGTTCCTACCTAGACTGCCGTCGCATATATGCGACGGCTAGTCACATTATACAGACAGTCGCATATTTGCGTCAGTGTTCCAATGTTATCAAAGCGATTATCTATATATAAATCCCAAACTACCCATGAACTTTTGAGAAAACTCCCATGAAGTCACACCCCCATAAACCATTATTTTTACGGCAATGGGGTTCATACCATCTTGTTCAGAGTCAATAGGAGTATAAGATACTAAATAAATCAAATTACCACCAAGAGTAAACAGGCCACAAGCTGCCAGGCTCTTGAGGTCACTGAAGCAATGACTCGACACAACCAAGAGGTTTGCAAGACTGAGCATCGCAGTAGCAAGAGCAACCAAAGGAGTGGCGTACCTGTAACAGCCTCAGTTAGAGTTACACTAAAATAACAGAAATGCATTTAGTCAACATCATTGCACTCAAACGTCGACAATATAAAACACACAGAATAAAGGCCTAAGGTTTTACGGTAGGATATGAATACTAATTGCACTATATTAATTGGTTTGATTCAATCAACTGGATACTATAATGTAGGCTATAAAAGGCAAAGCCCTCACTGACTCACTGACTCACTGACTGACTGACTGACACACTCACTCATCACTAATTCTCCCACTTTCCATTTACCTAGGAGGCTGAAATTCGGTACACCGATTCTTTGGGCATTAAATAGGAAAACTAAGTAGTTTTTATTCTGATCGGGCTTTCGGGCTCCGCCCCAGTGGCTCTGGAGTTTCCCACGTTAACATTATGATTTTTCATATTTAAAAGGAATTAATGAATTTTAACAGCTGTTTCAATTAAACAAGTTGGTTCTGTTCTGTGATGTTCAATAGCATTAAAGTTACAATGATTACCAACAGGGTGCAGCACTGTTATTATTTTTTAAATTTATGACAACAGCTAATTTGCAACCAAAAGGTGAGTGAGCGTAGCGAACGAACTTCAACCTGGAGGCGAGTTAGCGTAGCGAACGAGCTCCAACCTAAAGGTGAGTGAGCGTAGCGAACGTATGTCAACCAGGACGTGATTGAGCCATGGGAACGAGCTCATCTTGAAAATTAAGAAGTTAAACGGGGCATAGCCCGCAAGTACAGCTAGTAACGTATAAATGTAAAAGATTTGTTTAAAAACTGTTATTCAGTCAGAATTAACAATATAATATACAGGGTGGTCTGGACCTAGCGTTATAAATTTTTTCGGGTGGTAGAGCAACACAAGTGTGACTCAAATCTACAATTAAAAAATATATATTCCATACACCCACTTGCAGAAACATTACTTAGATTTTTTTTAGAAAAACCTGCACATTTACACAACATTTTAAAATTCCTCTAGTATTTTCATACATTTTTCTAACTTTAACACTACCATCATATTCTCCATTAAATTCTATGTAAGAATAGACAGCTTTTGGTGAACCCAAAGCTTCAGAATTGCTATTTAAATTGATTAGAACTAAGAAATTTTGATTTTCACAAATATGATGAGGCTTCTTTTTAAGTACAGCTATTACAGTTATAACTGTAGAAAACATGGTTTAAGGAAAACAAAAACACACTATAACAAACCAAAAAGACACGCATGATAGTTTTTATTATTATAGAAACAGCATGAGGCTGCAACAAAATTTGTATCTAGACAAGTTCAAAACAAATTCCAAGTATTGGATTGATAACCAAACTAAAATGCAAGTTCATCTATATAAATAAAATTAGAGTTTGGCTGTACATTGCTCAGAATCATAAACTTTTAGGTTATTATTACGTTTTGTTTTATACATTAAAGAAACCGGAACAAGTCTCATCTAAATTTCTGTCTGTCTGTCTTCCTGTCTGTCACGGCCCAAGAGTCATTTTACGCGGCCTTCTCCTGAAAAACGAGGGTACATATCAAGTACCAAATCATTTTAATGTATTCACTGGATTGGCGAGATTGTCTTTAGCTATTAAAGTATGGCGTCACTGCTATGTAAATAAAATGACGGACGTTTAAAAACCCAATTTTGAGAGATAACGAACAGCTGTTCGAATCAAGATTATTTCTTCCAACTGTCACTGATATGTTTACATCGAATGTTGTTTACAAATACCACAACCATTTCCGATCAAGTTTTGAAAGCAAATCAAAACCAAGTGAGATTAAAAACGTTTTTCCTTACATAACGGATTTAATTAATCACAAGTGCATTAATTTGTAGGGTATCCGTAAATGAAAATAGAGATTCTTTGTGTATAAAATTGTTCTTGAGTTTTGATAACCGGGAAAAAGACCTTGAATCAGTGTTGTATATTAGTGTAGTAGAAATAACTGAAAATATAGCTTAAGGTGGAACTAATTGCAACAGAAATGATTCTTGCTGTGAATGGTAGGTAGTATGCTTCTAATCAACATACTAAAAGTATACACCCGTACTGTGGCACAAAATACGTTTTTTTGGCCGCCATCTTGAAAAAAATGTCAAAATTTGAATACTCGTGTTCTGTATGTATTTAGAACAAATAATAAATGTATTTATCAAGGTACAATTTTAACCAACTTTATTCAACACATATTAAAAACAAAGTGAACATGTAAACATTATAACCAGCTGATAATAGTTATAGAATAAATTTAAGTAAATAAGTAAAGATAGACATTTAGGATGTAACACCTCCCCTTCTTAGTGAGTTTCATAAGTTAAGTCTATCGACGGGTTTATGTGTCCGTTTTGATCGTCTCACTGTCATAGCGGAAGCTGGTGCCACTGGAACATCTGACATGTTGTTACTGGTCTCTGGTGCCACTGGTATGTTGGGATCATTGGCCTCTGGATTAATGTTGTGATAATTTGTTGCGTGGTTTTCGGTTGGTTCCTCTCTGACTTCTCCAAAATTTGTTGGTATGAATACTTGATTTTGCTCATTCCTTAATGAAAATTCACACAAGTCCCTCCCTGAGCGTCTAATTTGGTCTTGATGTCGTCTGATTGGGCCACTGCTTGTGGTTATTTCATAATTTCTTGGTCCTTCTTTTTTGTTGATCTTTCCAAACCCCCATTTGTTGCAGGTTCCATAGAGGCGGTAATCTTTGTAAATTTAGTCGAATTACCCATTCTGGCCAAAATATCATCAATGCGGGGCATGTTGTGTTCTGGTATTACCAAATGGGGATTGAGGGTTACTTTGTAGTCTCCACACAGTCTGATATTCCCATTTGCCTTCATAATCGGTACAACTGGAGTAGCCCAAGAACTCTGATTCACCTTTGTAATTATACCTTCTTTTTCTAGTCTGTCGATTTCTGCACTAACTTTTGGTAACAAAGCATAAGGTAGTGGTCTAGCTTTTTTAAAAACTGGTGTAGTGTCAGGCTTTAAGTTAAGAAGTGCTTCTCCCCCTTTGAAACGTCCAACTCTTGGTTCAAATATGGATTTAAATTCCATTAAAATATTGTGTACTTTGGGATTTGAGTGTTTAACTCTATCCAAGTCAGCTCCGTGAACGTTATGTATGTCTGACCAATTTATTTTAATGGATCTCAGCCATTCCCTACCAAATATCGTATCTCTATTACCATCGACTATATACAATGGAAGATATTTGGTTTGGTTACCGTAACCAACCTGAACAATGGTTTTACCCAATGGAACAAATTCATTTTTGTTGAAATCTCTTAAGATTATGTCTGGATTCATTAAAGGTCTGTGTTTAGGAAAAAACTTGGAAAAGTTACTTTTTGACATCAAAGATACTCCTGCTCCTGTATCTAGTTCAAACGGAATAGGTTTCCCATTTATTTTTATGTTTAACATAATTTTCCTAAATTTATCTTCTGAGGTATTCATAGAACAAATGTCAATAACATTAGTTTCCTTATAGAGGGATCCAACAGAATTGTTCATATTTTGTTGTAGAAATATTTCATTTTGATCTTCGAAGGAGTCTGTTATTTGTTTTACATTTCTTGAAGTAGTGTTAAATGTAGTCTTATTTTGTCTTTGCAATTTGATAGGTGCATTAGGATTCCTAAAACAAATCTTTGCTAGATGCCCTATTTTTTTACAGAAGTTACATGTTGTATTTTTGTGTTTGCATTCAGATATGTATTCATGTAACTCTCCACAACGGTAACATTGTTTAATATTGGTACTGTTTTTAGGTTTTTGAAAACTTTTCTGTTGTACAACATTTAAGTTAACCGGCAATTCATTGTTTTCATGATTGAATTTTGATTGGATTGTTATTGAATCGTTTTGAGCCTTTTCAATTACTTGAGCCATGTCTACAGCTTTTTCAAAACTCAAATCACTGTCACTTAGAGTAATTAATCTTGTCTGTATTTTTTCATCCCTTAGTCCGAGTATGAATTGATTTCTCAGGGCTTTTGACAGAAATGTGCCGAAATTACAATATCTAGACAACTTTCTAAGATCCAATGAAAATTCAGAAATGTTTTCTCCTTCATATTGATGTCTACAATGAAATTTGAATGTCTCTGATACTTCATTTGGTTTCGGTGTAAAATGTGAATTAAGAGTTTGAACTAATTCAGCATAGGATTTAGTTATAGGTGATACAGGATGCAATATATCCCTAAGTTTACTGTAAGTGTCTGATCCAATACAGTGAAGTAACGTAATTTTCTTTTTATCTTCCGAAATGTTGTTATAAATGAATGATATCTCTAGTCTTTCCATATACATTTCCCATGTTTCATATCTTTCATTGAAGGGCCCAATCAATGCTGAGTTAATCATTTGAATGTTTTGAGAGGTATTTGAATTACTTGTACTCACCTCCATCGTCGCCAAATTGTTCTGTATGTATTTAGAACAAATAATAAATGTATTTATCAAGGTACAATTTTAACCAACTTTATTCAACACATATTAAAAACAAAGTGAACATGTAAACATTATAACCAGCTGATAATAGTTATAGAATAAATTTAAGTAAATAAGTAAAGATAGACATTTAGGATGTAACAACTCGTAAAAATAACTTTTTGGGTATCAAATTATAGGAAATTTTATGCTGAAAAATGTTGTAATAGTGGTTATAAGCACTATTTAGAAATACGATCGTAGTACAAAATAACCCTGCCGCAGCAAAGCTGCAGACTAAAAGAATTTCCATTTGTCTTAATTAATTTTCAAATAAATCTAGTAATTCAGGTTTAAAAATCTTTGTACAACTAAATCTAGAGTTATACTAGACCGATTTTATTGCCTAATGGGTCGTTGGAAAGCTTAATTCGTGTAGATTTTCAAATAATTATGAAACTTTGATTTTTTTTTAAGATTTGCTAGGTGAAACCAAGATTTGTTGAGGTTGCAAGCATGATCTTTTGACTATAAATCGATGATAAAT